GTACAGGGTTGTGGAGATTATTAAAAGTTTTTGATTGGGATCATGAACCGATTGATGTTAGACCACCATTGAAAACCGGGAAGCACTGAACGGCCGTTTCGTCCTATTGTGGGACTCCTCTGCCGCGGTCTTTATGTTGAACAGATGGTTAGAACCTGATGACTAACAATTATCAGTAATAAATACACTAACCTAAAGATTATCACAGTGATCAGAATTTTCATTTTTAAAACATCATTTCTACCCTGACTAGTACCAAATGAATTTTTGTACTTATCAAAGGAGCTGTGAGACTTGTAACTAAGATGTATGAAAACCGTTTGTCCTTATATATTATTACATGAACAGTACTAGATGGGAGCTATAAATCTTTGAATTAAAAAGCAGAGTACTTAAATAACATTATCTTATTACCACACAAGGCTTTTTACACCAATCTTAGGATAACAAATAGTGCCGTCTAGCCAAATATGAACCAGTATTTAGAAAATGTTTATAGAATAGTCAAGAACGAAGTGTATTGGATGGAACGCTCGTTCTCGATAACTTACTCATCAGCTTCAACAGCTACAAATCCAAAATTATTATTGCATTACAATAGACAAAATAATAAAGTCGAATTAATCCATATTACGGATTTCACATCTATTAAATCTTAACTATTACTAACTGCTAACGAAATGAAATAACATCATAGGCAATGTCGAAGAAAGGCCATGCATAATGGGTAAGAAGAAATATTGTAGGTGATAAGTTCGTATGTGAAAAGAATAATTCGAAACATGAATGGTATCGTAGTCGTTGTGATAACAATAACAATAATAATAGTGACATGGAAAATTATTAATAAGAATATCTTGTAAAATGAAGGAGGTCAAATCACGATTTAGGACAGAAATAAACACCTCTGAAGATAGTACAAATCAAAATGAAGTAAAAGGGAAAAACTTGGAGCTAAAAATGAAACGACCTTAATTTTTTTCAAAGGTAAACAATTACGTTGTATATGCCTTTGTTTTATCCATAAACTTCTTCAAATTGATTTCAATTACTTCAGCTATATAGAGTAAGAATAAGCTTTTAGTAATTTCCTAGGAATCCGATTTATGATTAAGGAAGTATCTTCAATTTGTTGGAAAATAATAGATCTATAAATAAATTTCGCGACGCCTTTCTTAACTATGCTGTTACGTGTTTACGAGAAAGTAAAGATAAGAACCTTCACAGAAACAGTCAAGTTGATAAACATTCATGAATGAGCATGTCATCGGTAAATTACCCTTAATTTTCTACATTGAGATTAGCTTCATCTTAATGGCATATAGTTTTTGATACCTTTCTCTAACCTTACCAATGATGTTATTTCATTTCGTTAGCAGTTATTAATAGTTAAGATTTAATAGATGTGAAATTCGACTTTTGAAATTCATGATATGAATTAAATCAACGTTAGCATTTTATCTATTGTAATGCAGTAATGATTTTGAATTGTATCTGTTGGAGCTGATAAGGAAGTTGTCGAGAACGAGCGTTCGTTGTAACACATTCTTTTCTTAAATATGAAACAATGATTTTTCTTAAGGAGGGAAAATTATGTTTGTAATAATATTTTATACATTGTTATAGATTGTTATTTCTAGTTAAATAGGAATTATCTTATAGCTATTTCCTTATATTACTCTTAAATGTCATCCGTTTTCGCTTTTCATATGTACCATTCTGATGTGAACATTAACAAAATCCAGTGTAATAAATTGTGATTTTCACAATCAAGTTTTCCAACTTGTATTTTCTTAAAGTACTCTGAATAAATTGATATATCGTCTTGAATAGTTTTCATAAGCAAATTGTTATATAAAACCAAAATTTACATTATTTGCAATGAAATTTTACTTGATAGAATTAAAAGATGTTTATAGGTATCAATGCCAAGGTTGGACTTGTTAGTTTCAAATAAATTGAATATTGAGTGGAAAGTTAATACTAAGTACATTTTTGTTATATCCCGATGAGTAAAAAATTGTATTTCTGACGTTTCGTGAATTAATGTAAGCCACTTCTTTAGAGCAAATAAATAACCGAATTAAATTAACACGAGTCTAAATAGTACTCTGAAGAAGTGACTTACACTAGGTCATGAAACGTCAGAAATACAATTTTTCTACTCATCGGGATATAACAAAAATGTTGGTAGCTGTAAGTGATCACACTTAGACGCAGTGATTTCACCATTAGCTTCTTAGCGTTTTTTTGCGAGTTAGTTTTCTATGGGATGGGGACGCTAACCCCATGCCCAACCCTCCTCCTTTATCCGGGCTTGGGACCGGCAGTAGCCCCCGGAGGGACTCCAGGCGGAGTTGTACTTGTTATTAATTAAAAAATGTATTTTGACGCAACATTTTTACGATTTTTAACTGATAATACTAATGGAAAATATTCAAAGTACAATTTTTCTAGGTAAAATGAGCGACTTATTGAGCGATATGCTTAATAAAAAAGTTGACACTATTATGTGCTTTCGTCCATAATTTTCAACAAACATATATCAAACACTGTGAAATAATACTGGGTCCTTTAACTGAATGTTTACCATTAATATTTTACCTAATGCTGTTAAAACTGGAAATGTTACTGGAAGTTTCCTTTGGGAATTCGTTACTACTTATTAACTATCGCACATCATTAAATTTTTTCCGAATAACTTGACACAAATCAACGTGGTTTATCCGATGAACTGACGTCAGTTAACTAGGCATTGAAAATTAAGAATATCTTTCATATCGAATACTATTCAGCAGTTTGTATATACGATTACATGGAAGATAAAATCTATGATGATAGTACTAACGAGTCTTGCCTTTTACACATTATTGCTAGAAATCATTTTTGTTTTTTACTGGTGCTACTATTTCATGAGGTTAATTGTATTCAGTGATCAGAAGATTATCACGTATAATCGAAAATAGTTTCATTCTATCAAAAAAGTAATGCAATAGGTTTCCTTATATTATGAAACATAAAGTCATCTCAGGATGTTTATTATTTCTAACAGGAAACATTTATTTAAATGTAGTGATTCTTGGCTAATAGGTTATTATCCAATTTAATAACAACCTAACTTAACTCCAATAACAAATTCAAATGGTGTCATGTTTAATCAACTTACTATGTCTCATAAATTATTTGATATAATTTACTATCCTAGAATTATTTGTATCAGCTATGGTGTTTGTATTTCAACAATCATTTTATGAATTTTTTGAGCTTTCAAATAAATGTAACCATATTTTTGGCATAAATTCTGCTGTTTATCAGTATTTTAATAATCTATAAGACCAATAAATCCATTGCTTATTGTTTTTCATATATTAATGATTGTACTTTTATTTACAAGTGATAGGTAATTAATTAAAACTACCTAATGGTTCTAATGTACTACTGACATGGAACAACATTTCCCAAACTAGAATTTTAAGACAATCAAAAATGAAGCTAACAGATGAAATAAATCAGTTTTTCATATTTATGTGTTACTAGATCATATACTTAGAAAATTCAAATTCAAACTGATATTGATCATAGTGATTATCTATAAATCAATAAAGGACTATAATATGGTATATCTTGTAGTTTGATTGCTCACATTGAATTTTAATACTTTTTACCATTTGAAAATTTGTTAGAGTAAGAAATTGTGATAAAACTCAGAATTAACGTCTACAAAATGACACTGAATAATCTGAGTTTACTTTCAGTGCTATTTAATATCTGTTATTCATTATATTTTGGGTTAAGGAATTGAAGACCTAAGAGTTTTTTGATAGAGTTTAGTTCTCTGAGGTGGATTGTTTGGTCATGAAGCTTTCATTGTTCAGAAAAACGACCAAACCATCCAGCTCAGAGAACTAAATTCCATCAAAACCATCCACCTGAGCTACAAATCTTCTCCACCATCTCAAGACTTAAGAGTCTCCAATAATGTCAGAAATTATCTTTTAATTAGTTAATGTAACATTTTAATTCAATTATTCCGATGAACCTTCTAGGAAATATTTTGAATAAACATTTTGACTAGAATTGTCTATAAAGATGATCTTTTTAATTATTATGTTCAAAAATTTTAAGTGTTATTCCTTTAAAACTGCATCCTCACTGACTGATTATAAGGCTCACGCCACATCCTCCCACAAATATCCAAACATTTCTTATTATATTATCGACAATAAAGGCATGAAATACATTTCCAACTCTTCTGATCTTTCAATGTTTATTTATTTTCTCAACTGTTGAATGACGAGGGCTACAAAATTATCTGGAATATATTGAATTTGAGTTTCCGATTGTTGTGTGCATCGAATTATTCAGCTCAGTCGCATACACATGACTGAATTTTGTGAAAGTCCCACTTTTAGAACAGAATATTTATTTCAATGGTCAGATCATGAGTTATTTGAAGCTAGACTACCATGGAAAACCTGGAAGCACTTGACGGCCGTTTCGTCCTATTGTGGGACCCCTCGGCAGTGCGCATCCACAACCTCGCCCCCTGCAAGATTCGAACCCAGGACCTACTGGTTTCGCGCGCGAGCACTTAACCACTAGACCACTGAGCCGGCATCCAACGGTGTTAATGTCTGACTTCAACTAATCCGCGAAATCGAGTGACGACCGTCCAGTGCCTCCAGATTTTCCATGGTGGTCTAGCTTCAACTGACTCATGATCTTAACCATTGAAATTAACTATAGTATCCACAAAATCCATCAAAATATCTATTACCGTATTATTAGTTTTCTTATTAGGTAAATTTATTAATATGTTAAATGATCCCCAATTCAAATGTGTAGGTGGATTATGGAGTTAATTACCTATCTACGAGCTATTAAAAATATGCTAGATTGTGAATACTAGTTTTTTTCATTTTTATTTCGAATCATTCTTCCTAATTAGATGGCAAAATCTAATTTACTTCTCCTGGATTTTTTTTTAATTTAAAATTCAGGAGATGGAGTTTTCACACCATCGGAATTGGAAATATTTTTACAATTTCATGAGATAATGCTTTAAATGATCAATTCACCTTTTAACAAACCGGTGTGCAATTCAAACAGAAAAGATTTTTGCAAAATGAGGTGACTATTTGAAGTGGAATATGAAGAAAAAAATAGCAAATAGATTAGATATTTCATGTGGCAATTTTAAGTATTAATCTCTTTTGCTTTTGCTTACATCAAGATTCCAATATTAATGCCATTGCAATTACTGTTGTCATTGTTGTTATCACCAAGTACTTCGTTAACCCTTCTTGATTGTGTTGTTATTTGGTCAAATAAATGTGTTGAACATAAAGACAATTAAATGAAATTAGTTTTAACTTCGAATATCTGCAAAATTGGATCATTTAGTGATTGGTGAATTTTCATCATAGTAAGAAAGTAATGCTATGTGAATCCCTATAAAGGTTTATGTAGTTGTCTAATTAATGTCATGTCAGTGTATTATCGTCAACTATCTGTCTAACGTAACTTCCTGATTATATAATCTTATAATTAAATTTGTTATAAAACCTACTGATAGTTAACTGATAATGTCAGTGCTAAATATGTTCTAGATATGAATGAGCTAAATTTTTAGCTAGAAACAATTTTCAAATTTGTCAACTGTCAGTGTGTTGCTTTGAAAGTTCGTAAAAAGTTACCGTCACTATTTGATTATATTTTCATTTATGGACAATTTTCCATATGCAATGGAACTCATGGAAAAATACTACTTCGTGTAATGAATGAAGCTAGGCAAAAAATCCGATTTCAACCATAACCAAAAGTTTATGCTAGACTATAGCAAAAAATCTGCTCCAGACAAAATAAGAATATGGTGAAAAAGAATGCCGACGGTATATCAAATATAAGAATAGGAAGTGATAAAGATTAATACTGGTAATGAGATATGGTCGAGCTAAATCTCATTCATTCGAAAGGAATGTTATATTGTATATTATACTGGGAAAATATGAAAATATTCAGAAGGACCTTCACATGCTGCTATTCTGATACATTATTAGAACAATGAGTTACACTAGTCTTTAGATTTTGATCCAGATAGTTATGATGGACAAACGGATGTAACTGTTCACAGATATCTTTCACTCTACAGCTCTTCATAGGCGTCAATAAATAACGTGGTGCAAAAGCACCTAAGACACCTCAAACGTGTTTCGCTTCTAAACATCAACATTAAGCTACTAAACTTCCGCATTATTTGTACTGTCTTCACACGAATGTGGGCACTTCTCAGAAGACGATAACTGAATGCCTTCAGCTGTGGCGTCATGCTCCACATTAATTCGAACTGCTCACATTGAAGTATTTGGCACCTGGTCTTTTAACAACAAACTAGTATAATATGTTATTACTCTCGTAATGCATATATTGATCTCACTTGCTAAACCACCACTAGCACTCATAACTGCATAAATGCAACTATATCTCAACTAATATTTTGAAGAAGACAAAACGAAATAACCCCCTGCAACCCAATCGCTATTTTGGAATAAAAAGGAGGATATTGAGTCCTTCAATCTATCTCATATGAGAAGCAGCTTCCGAAAATTATCTATTCGCATAAAACGACGAATTCTCCAAACAATTAAATATTAGTGTCTAAGTCGTGTTTGATTTCTGTCAATTGGACAATGGACAGGATGGGCAAACAAGTCTTTTGATAAATACTTTGAGACTTGATGAACCCCTCTCAACAACATACGCAATCCACTCTTTATGGACTTAAGCACTTCTTTTTGAAATGTTTCCAATACTCAAGAGTAAAGCCCACTCTGGATAGAGCTCATGTAACTATTTCCATATAACTGACTCAATTCACTTATATATACTAATTGGGTCATCGTAATTGGGTTTATCCTTGAAATTTTGTGTCATAACTATTAGGATGGAGGATGATTTGAATATAAGTAAATAACATTTTTATAAAAACCGCTAGAATAAACAAAGAAATTACTAATGAGAAAACAACAGCCATGACTAGGTCACCTTTGCTCAATTATCGATTTTGTGTAGTTTGAAAAACACATTCCAAAGAGTTCATCAATAAAAATTGTATACTCACCTCATTTCAAAAATAAAATCAATAAAACTAGGTTAATAACAGTAGTTTATCACGGCGACTAGTTTTATTGATAGAAATCTAAAGTATACTTTTATTTTTTGGTCTAATTACGCAGATTGTTAAGATTAATATCTATCGTTAAACGACAACACAATCAGAAAATTCTTACAATTTCATATTTACATTCCTAATTAAATAAATAACTCCACAACTATAAATGACACCTCACCATGGTGATAAGGTTTGCTTATTGTGATGACCAGATAGTTAATTTGGTTGAAACACTTATTCCTATCGGTCTTATTATGTCAGGCAGGTTAGCTGAAGAACGATAAGACTAAGAGCAATAACTTATAGATGACGAAGTTATGTTGCTGGCCGTACTGGGATGTGATGGTAGTAGTTCCTCCCAGACAAAAAGCATTCACAAAGACACTATCTTTTCATAACGTAAAGAGGTAAGAAAAGGTTGACCATGAAAATATCGCATCTCGCGTTACCCTATGGATTTCCGATGGCATTACGAGTTCCAAGGTATGGAGATAGCATATGTGAGACTTCCCACAAAAAGGCCATGTGTCCAGGAATAACCAGTTGTCCGTTGATATTTTCAATCAATGCAACAAAAGAATACTGCAGAAAAGTGTTTTCATTGTAACGTTAACTTTATGATTGCAAAAAAAGCAAAAAAACAAAACCTTTCTTTTATTCTGTTAAAGTGAATACGCAGTGACTACACACAATGATCGTATTGCTCACACTTTAATATATCCATGTTGACCTTGCTTTGTAACTAAACCTTTTGTCTTCTTTAGAACCATTTTAAAATGAAACTGCTAACTCGGGATTAATAAAATGGGTCTAGTTAACGTATGAACCCGACGAAACTTCAACTATTGTATGTCAGGTCTACCCCTATTTTGCAATCTCGCTATCATTATCGGAAAATCGTTCAGTCAGTAAACGAAACTCTAATAGTCGGTATTCAAACGGATTTACTAGTGAACGATGGATTGTATTATGTGGTCATGAGTAAAGATATGTTTTAAGTATCCTAGTTTAATCACTCTTAGTAAAACATTATGGTGACAATTTCCAGCTGCCTGATTGAATTATTATTGTCCCATAAACGGTACATAGATTGTATGCAAATAATGAACCTAACAATTCGGAGATTGTAAAAATAACTTAAACCTGAAGAAAATAATTAAGATACTTGTTTACACTAGTTGTCGTGAGAAACAAGCTAACGACAAGTACACAGAATCTAATAATATTCTCCCGTTGTAATCAGGAATATTTTCTAATGAGATTTAACGAATGTTACATAAATCCAAATGGTCTATACTCATTATCAACGGACGCCAAATGGGACGTTTATTCAGATCTTTCTGTGGATACTCCCCTTCGACACAATAAACTGTTGTTGAAGGGAATCAACTAAAATTATAATAATGGTGGCCTAAAAATTCAAATCTTATTTATATGCTCGGTAGCTAAACAATTAAAAAAAATTTAAGCAATAAAAGCAACTTTTCAGTGGATAAACGTTGTTATTCACGTGCTAGAATATATGAAATGTGAATATAAACTGGTAATTATTACAAATCTAGGTCGTTCAGTATCAAATTTTATCAAGGTTACACATATCATACAAACCAGACATTTAAATATAAATTACATTACAATTATAGTTTCGAAAATCTCTTGTGGCTAATAGAGAACTTTTTGCAGCTGCTCAAAACTGTGGAAAGGAACAACGAATTAAAACTTTGTTCGGATGAATCACATTTCTGCTTAATAATACAAGATCACAATATAATATAAATATGTACACTTGTTTACAATAATGTGTCTTTACGATGTGATTAGTAATGAGATTTTTTATGTTTTTTCTTGGATTTTGAATGATGATCGTCCCGATCTCTTGGGTCCTCACGATCATAGGAATCACACCTAGGAGTTGGTGACCTCCGTGGAGATCTGTCAGAGATCCGATTACGCGCAAATGCATAAGCAGCTGGTGGTGAACGATGGCGCCTTCTACGAGCCTACAAACGAGGTAAAATTCGTGCATTACAATAGCGTCTTTATAAATGAACAGATTGAAATAATAATAAAATGTATTGGAGTATCATTGCACCGTTAAAGCGAAAAGAACCCTTGACTAATAGAGTATTCACATATTTAAAAAGTCAAAAGCATTAACATACTTTGTTCTCGATTTCCAAAGCTTCTCGACGACGTTTCATGTTAGCAACTACAGCATGTGCGACGGCTGCAGGGACTGAATCAGGAGCTGGTGGAGGTGACGAACGATACCGATTAGCCGTCGTTGATGTGGTATTAACTGTCGAAGATTTGGAGATAGTTGTACTAGTATTTATACTTCCTTTTGTGATAGAATTAGTTAATTTCAACTGGGTAACCAATTGGGCAGCTTTTTTACGCCTTTCCTCACGCAGACGCTCTTCTTTAGCTGTAGGGACCGTAACTTGATAACCATCGGCAGAGAAGTCTAAAAGACTTGTAGGTTCATGTATATCTATCATTTGAAGAGTATGAACAACATAATAATTCAGCAAACTTGTTTGTAAAGTACGTTATATCAAATTAAAAAGTATGCTTTAATGAAACTAAATAACGGAAACTTATTGTATACAGATATAGATCAAGAACAAAGACTGTGTTTACCTAATAAATCTTCAAGAGCACATGAAGGCCAGTTGGAGGTTAAATGTGAACTTGAATTAGATATCGACTCCACAGGAGAACACAAATTATTATCATAGGGAGAAGTGATGTTACAGATAGACTGAACAGGAGACTGAATGTTATGCACTTGTTTATTTCTCTCATTTCGCTCAATGGATATGGAGGGTGATGTACAAACAGAATTCGAATTTGAAGCTCCACTGGAACGATTTGTGTAAGAGTATGGACTT